CTCTTAGTAATGGCCCATTCTCACTCAGTAACTCACCCTGTTGCCCTCAGTGCTGTACTGTTTGATTGACTCTTCCAGCCTCTTCCTGAAGTGATTCAGCACTGCTTCATAATCTGAAGGACAGATCAGAGAGAAATGGTGTAACAAACACTGCCATGTTCACAAATTCACACACAAGCACATACACACACAGCCAGATTGCACTGCGTCCTGTCCACACACACTCTCACACACAGCCAGATTGCACTGCACTGCTCTTTGTTCACACACACACACTGCATTGCACCTCGTCCACACTCACACACAGCCAGATTGCACTGCGCTTTGTTCACACACATACACACAGCTAGACTGCACTGCGCTTTGTTCACACACATACACACAGCTAGACTGCACTATGCTTTGTTCACACACATACACAACGCCAGCAGACAGTGTGTGTGGGGTCCGTACCACGCTGCAGGGTGGGAGAGGGGTGCTCCAGCAGTCCGCGCTGCCACTGGATTCGCTGGCACACATCCTGGTACTGGGACAGCAGATCGGTGGGAGGATCGCGCCTGGAATGACGGCACTCCGCTATCTGGAAGACACCAGAGAGATAGAGAGTCAGACACCAGACTTAGAGAGAGAAAGGACTGGTGGCCCAGGAAAGAGCTCAGTTCAGAACATCATTCCCAAAGGAACAGCATCCACTGGCACAGGCAGAGAGAGGAACACTGCAGGCAGGACTACAGCAGTGTGTCATGCAGAGAAATGCAACTGCATGCTGAAGTTCCTGAAAGGCAGACCTCAGGTGGTGGAAAATCTTCTCTCCAGCGATCCTGAACATGGGAGCTCCCCAAGGCTGCTTGTTCACCCACGACTGTACAGCCACTTACAGCAGCAACCACACTATTTAGTTTGCAGATGACACCACCACAATTATCTTACAAGGCGGTGCCTTGACAACAATCTGGCCCTGAACATCAACAAGACAAAAGAGCTCAATGTGGACTTCAGGAGACCCACAGGGAGTCACGCCCCAATCAGCATTAATAGCACAGCAGTGGAAACCGTCAGCTGCTTCAGGTTCCTCAGTCTGCAGATCTCCACCGACTTTTGGCTTAGTCTCACAACACTGGAGCCAGCCTGAAAAAGGCACAACAGCGCCTGTACTTTCTGCGGAGCTGAAAGAAATGCAGTTTGGGGAAGAAGTTCCTCAATAACTTTTACCGCAGCACCATAGAAAGTGTCCTCACTAGTGGCATCACTGTGTGGTACAGCAATACTACCGTGCACGACAAAGATGCACTACAAAG